CACTTCACAAGCACTGATGATGTCATCTCGGCTGGTGATGAAACGTTTGCAAACAAATTGCCAAGCTCAGCGAACAGGCGAAATGGAATTCAGTTCATCCGAGCTACGAGAACCGATTTTCAATATTTTGTCAGTAATAAAATATCCTTTTTGTGTCTCGCTGGCTACTTTAACACCATTCCTTTTCAGTCCTTGGGAAAATGGCGTGAGTGTACGGGGTAGCAGGAGATGACATTCATTAATTGTGTTTACCTGAGTGAATAGTTGAGAAGATGGGCATGGGGCATTATTATCTGTTCACTACCTTGTTGTGGTCGTTATTGGTAGAGTGATGCTGCAAGTGAAGCCCAATTGATACCCATCGTCTTTTCGATCCCAGAAGATTCAACGGCCCTCTCAAACTAATTGTAGGAATACAACAGGTGGGTTTATATTTAATCAGGTTGCCATTAACTTAAAGGCAAAAAAATCTGTCACCTATTCAGTATAAAAACCACGGCACAACCGGGGCTTGATCGCTTACATTTCAAAACTCGTACATTCTTGATTAGACCAAATTGGCTGACCTCTATCTCTCTCGATCGATCGATCGAGCAATCACCCGACCACCTTGTTGTAGGGACGATGTAATCTTTTTACAAGAACAAAGGAGTCACTGGGCGCTAGGTGTATACTTAGTAATCTGTCCTCCATTTGTAATAGGTGAACTGATTAGAAGACACAGGTGATGTGTTTCTCGATGGATAATTTCTTGTGCTGAATATTGGTATATATATTGTCATTATTATAACACACCATTTCACTTAGTGTCATGTCTTCCCTAACATACTACCATACATACACACACAAACTTCATTATGCCATTCCAGTTGATTGAAACATTTGGATCTGGTTATGAATTTTACCAGGCAAGTCAGAGGACATACACTACGAGAGGAATTCCTTTCTTATAATCCCAACGGTCGCGTACGCATCACATTGAACAAGATAGACAAATGAAGTGAATCAAGAACCCAAGTTGGGTTTTATCTACCTAGGTTTTTTTATTCACTTCACTTGTCCATCTTGTACAATGTGATACAAACACGACCGATGAGACTATACGGGAATTTCGGTTGTTTTTTTGTCGCGGATTTTTCCAGTCCAAATGCAATTTCACCAAAGTTTGATCTATTTCTACTCATCAATCTGACAAACCCACACTACAGAGTCGATAAATTACCCATAGATAATATTTTACTTCCATATGTTTGCACCTCAAGCACAGTGGTAAAACTGAAAAACAATGTTTTTGCACAGACTGATTGTGAACAAGGAATGCTTCATCAGTGTGACGTAATCATCTGTAAAAACCATACCGGAAACGTTAAAGTTTTCCAAGCTGGTAAAGTTTCCTGGGCGATCGTTGGCCAGTTATCATTTAACCCCAGTGCTGTGTGCGCGCTACTGGACGAGGTATTTTGAGGAGAGCTTGGGGATTGGTCAAACCGAAGCAATCTAAGGAAATGGTGCGTATAAATGAGTTAAAAGTACTGTAGCGAACCTAAATAAAGAAGTAGAAACTGCGGGTTTGCATGATGTAGTCCGAATCAATTGGTTGCAACCGATCACATGCATAGGATGGGATTTTTCATAAACGAAATGATCCTAGACCAAAACGGATTGAGTACAAAATTACTTACCATAATGTCAGAGCGATAATCTGTTGTAGAATGTTGACCGGTGAAGACGTGTATTTGAGAACCTTGGTACTGTTTGTCTTGTAAAGGATCCTGCATAGATCACCTATGATACATTTCTCTCAGATATTGTACAGTGAGAAGAACTGAGTCTCCTACGGGTTATAGATGTCACACTTCCAAACTTTCAATTTATAGGGTTATGAACCCAGATTGGTTACTCTATAGCGTAGTTGTCTGTTCGTTATCGCGATGCATACACATGTGAATTGATAAATACATTTGGATTTGATGTGGAGATAGAGGGGCTTTTTACCACTGCGGGCATTATCATTAATCAGCTTCGCAATAGGTGATTATTAGCTTCGCTGATATTTTTACTGTCGAAGGACAGTTGCAGAACCGATCTCATTTTGAGTGCATCATGCAACTTTCCCCCATGTCGGATTTTGTTCTGCATGCTTTAAACAGAACGCCTCTGGGGATCCACTAGATTGAAATGTTTTCTATTGGCGCGGTCATGTGCCTTGCTCAGAGCAATTTGTGGATATTTGTTGCACTCTGTGGAACAGCTTTCGAACGAGATCAATCTCAAACCCCACAAAAGCAAACTGAAAAAAACGCGGTTATGGCACTGACCAAACACTTCCGCAAAACACGGTTTTGCTTCATTACGATAATCAATGTGAATAATCCAGATACGTGATAAAAACCACTGTCTAGTTGAACGGCTCCGGAGCCAAACGACGCGATCACATTTAGCTGTTCGTTTTGTCCAACTGTGAGCAGATTGGTGGTTTCGGGAAAGGTCCC